TTAGTAGGATACTCTTTGTAATATACTTATAAGAATTTGTTTCTTTTATTTTTTGGAAAAAGAATTGCTTTTTATTATTTGGAAGTATAATTTGTTTAGTTCATGATGATGACATTCCCCAAACTGGTATGGGTTTTACTTACCCATTACAAGGGTTTACCAATGCATTTCATGGTTTTGATTAATACTGTGAATCTGTAAAGTAACTTATGCATAACAGACCAATGCAATACTCCCTATGGGTATATTTACAGTATGTGGAGCTGAAACTGGAAGTGCACCTCCTTTATTAAAGCCAGCCAAACTACCTGATCCAACAAAAGGTCTCACAAAAGGTAATTATCATTGTCTAACATGCGCTCACAATCAATTTTAATTCCTACCACACTATATATCTTAAATGGACTTATCCATCTCTTAATCTGGACATTACCATTAATTATTGTTAGGGAAGTTTTCAAAATATATACTGAATGAATAGTCTACAGTGCAGACCGTGATCAGACAGCACAGATGTGTGAGAGGATCTTGGTCTGCACTGGTCGATGCAGGTAAAGATTAAACATTGGACAAAAAAAATGGAAGCTAGTATGATAATGAAGAGTCGGTAGTTTTGTCATGAAATAAGGGTCTGTCTGTAATCAGTTAAAATTCATTTGTATCTTAACTAGAATCATACATAAGTACCTACATTAAAAGAATGGTGTCGTAATACTTATGATAGAGTCCTATATGCAGGAATCATTTCTTAACTTAATAAAATAGCAATAAGAAAAAATGAAAACATCGTCATTTCACCAATTTTTTTTATGCCCCCGGGCATATAGGGATTGAACCGTCCGTCTGTCCATACGAGGTTAACCTAGAACGGCAAGTTGGATTTTTCTTAACTTCTACCTGTACCAATGGCTTCTAAGTTTACACACTTACTAATCAATACAAAGTACATGATCTGGGCAAGTTACATAACTCTGGCTTTCATATTTACCAAGTTATTGCCCTTTTCAGCACTTAGAAAATGAATAATGGTTAACCTTAAACGGCAAGTTGGAAATATCTTAATTCTATCTATACTAATGGCTTTATAATTTCCACACTTACTTATCAATACAAAGTTACACATGATATTGCCAAGTTATATAACTGTGTCATCCATATTTCCCAGTTATTTCCCTTTTTTCACTTTTAAAATAGGGCCTTGTCTGGTTAACTTAATTCAGCAAGTTGGATATATCTTAAATTTCTCCTAATTGCTTAATTTCTTTAATGATATCTTTCATATTTAGTAGGTGGATACCTTTGATGGTCCTCTAATTTTTTGTGGAGTAAGCGGTCTCTAGGGTCAAGGTCACTGGTTTAAAAAATAAATATAATTTTTTTTACTCATACAGTGACATTATGCTCATATTTTCATAGTCATGTTGAGCTGAATTGACTTTAAATTTCAAAAGATTGACTGTTAAAATGGTGTCTGACCAACAGTTGATATTGGAAAATGTTCAGGATAAAATTATAACTCTGCCTAAAATATAAAAAGACTGCCCCACTCTTTTTATAAACTGAGCGTTATAGGTATATTCTAATAGATATTGACAGAAATTTTATTTGGATCAGTGCATTATTTATTGTTTATGGGAAGTAAATTATTGAATGAAAAGGAAATATGGCAAAATGAAAACTTATTTTGATATTCACCTGTTCACTCACTATATTCCCTTGGATGGGCATAGTGTCACTTTTTAGTTGATGTCTTAGTTTAATACAAACATGCCAAGGGAGGTCCTCCTTCTTTTGGTGTAGCAAGGGGTCATTTGGGTCAAGGTCAATGTTACCAATGTCAAGGTCACCAATGTTAAAAATAGATTTTTACATTTTTACAGGTGTATTGACCTTATTCTATAGACAGATGTTATTTATAATTGATAGAAACATAAACTTTGTATAGGTTAGAGTGCATATTGGGTGTTCTTCGTAAATAAGAAAGCTAAAAAGGAGCGGAGCTTGCGAAGCGACTGTAGCTTTCTTATTTACGAAGAACATCCAATATGCACTCCCACCGGCTTAGTGCTCTGCCCATTTTTTTTCCGCCCAACACACTGCGTGACGTCACACGATAGCCTAAATGTGTATAAAGATGGTAGCGGTACACATTTTCGGGTCACGTGTTTTGCATAGCTAATTCCCACATTCTGTCTAGGTGAACAAGACAATATCCATATCGGTACCCTCTTTGTGAAATACTCTCAAACGGTACCCTCTTTGAACATGCACAGGTCATTCTCTGCTAAAAACAAACCAGCGATGGATAACAATGCAGTAAAGTTTCATTGTAATAAGGAAAGGAGGTATGACACGTAGAAAAGATGTATACCACGGAAAACTAGAATGTTTTATTTATGTGCTGATTTGTCATGTGTCCGATTTTCATGTACTGCAACTTCATAAGCTACAAAAAGCCGACATGTCTTGCCTCGCCGTCACCTCGACATATTTATCGGGCTGAAATGAACCTGTGGCTTGATTATATAATATGCATCATACATATTTAATATATTCATATAGTTACATATCTTCTTCGGACAAATGGCAGTATAGTGTCAAAAATAAATGTAAAATTCATTAAACACCCTACTTTCGGTTTTGCAGCGGCATAGGCTACCTATCTTCATTTGAATTTTTATAACACAGGTACAGTACCCTCTCATTTTTGAACACATACGTACCCTCAAATCACGACATATGCTTTTATTTGCGTTAATCGCTAAGTATGTAATATTTACATAAAAGTAAGAAATATTACATACATACATTGTTGGAATAAAGTGATCTTTTTATTTGGAAATTATAAAATGATACTGGTTCGGTAAGTAATAATTAAAACATTTTTACTGTTATTTTGCCATGAACCTCTTTCCGTAGTGACGATATACATGTGCTTGTACGGAAAAAACATGATGCATAAATATTGATTAGTAGGAGGAGTAAACTTCAAGATCTCTGCACATACGTATATTGCACTTTAGCGCTCTTCGAAACTTAGCTCCGCCCACTTGCGTTTTATAATATAAAACGTCCAGTTTATATAAAATCTGTTCTATTAAGATTTGAAACCTGAAAATTTGAAAAATCCTCGTCGGTAATTGGCTTAAAAAAATTGGCGAGCACTAAGATGGAGTTAGTGGTCAGTTGGGTCAAGGTCACCAGTGCTAAAAATAAATTTTTACACTTTTGCTCATACAGCCTTTATTTATTGACAGATATATTTTATATTTGGTAGGAAGATAACTTGCATGGTATTCATCCTTTTGATTGGGGTAGGGATCAGTGTGTCAAGGTCACTTGTGCTAAAAATAGATTTTTACACTTTTGCCCATTCAGCTTTTATTTATTGACAGATGTATTTCATATTTGGTAGGAAGATAACTTGCATGGTATTCTTCCTTTGGATGGAGTAAGGGGTCAGTTGGGTCAAGGTCATCAGTGCTAAAAATAGATTTTTTCACTTTTGCCCATACAGCCTTTATTTATTGACAGATGTATTTCATATTTGGTAGGAAGATAACTTACATGGTATTCTTTTGGATAGAGTTAGGGGTCAGTTTGGTTAAGGTCACCAGTGCTAAAAATAGATTTTTTACACTTTTGCCCATACAGCCTTTATTTATTGACAGATGTACTGGTATTTCATATTTGGTAGGAAGATAACTTACATGGTATTCTTCTTTTGGATAGAGTCAGTTGTCAGTTTGGTTAAGTTCAGGTGCTCAAAATAGATTTTTACACTTTTGCCCATACAGCCTTTATTTTATGACAGATGTATTTCATATTTGGTAGGAAGATATCTTGCATGAAGTTGAATATTTTTCAACTTCACACGTCAGAGCAATGACTTGGCAACTTATATTCACAATTACAAAATGCCATGGCTTTGTCAAGCTATATAACTTGTGTTTACAATTTTTTGGCAATTTTTATGTCCATAACTGAGTCAATGAGTAAACATTTTTTGAAATATTGCTACTGACAAGAATCTGAGCGGGGGCATTTGTGTTTAACAAACACGTTCTTGTTTTTCTTTAAATTTTCATTGTAAATTTTGATAGTTATTGCCAGAAACTCATAAGTTTATTTGAATTATTTTATTACTTGTATAGAAAGTGAAGTTACAGAAAAAGAGAACAAAGATTCAGGTACAATATTTGGGGCATCATCATCTGTATTCAAAGATTCAGCACCCCCTGATAGTGGCGGAGAAAACCTTTTTCAAGCTGCTTTACAAGAACAGGCAGAAAAAAAGTAAGTCCAGTCTATAAATACTTCGACATTGTTCCGTAAACAAATCAAGATTTAAGTTTTTTCAGCTTTAGTTGTAAAAAATCTTAGAATGATATAATTTTGTGAAATACGCAATTTATTACAAAGGAGGTCAATTAAATTAAATAAACTCCAAAAACAATCTAAAATCTGACACAAATCTTAATCCAGTTTGCTCATTGGTGACATAAGCTTTGTCATGAAGGCATACCAATACATGTATTGACAGCTGTATTTAATACTGAATATAATTTTATTTTCCAGATTACCGGACAGTAGTTGTAGTCCAAGTAAAAGTAACAGTGCTTCTTCATCAGGAGAGGGAGAAAATATCCTCGGACAAAATCTCACAGAAAAAGTTACTGTAAGTTGTTCTTGATATTACATACTGTATAATGCATTATTTCCATGGATGAAAATTTTTATTAGATCAGTTAAAGCATAGAAAGAAATTGTCATATTACCAACAGTTTGATGGGTATTTGACCCTAGAGTACACCTTGCCCTCTACTTCAAAAAGCTATCTTTATACAAAATATATATATTTCTTTAAAGTTGTCCTTTAAACAAAAATGTCATTTAAGGTTACATAGTATCTGTAAGTATTTCTCATTATTCAGGGTGTACACACCTCCCCGAAAGGTCTAGTCAGTAGCTCAGGTTTTGTTTTTGGGGAGAATTTGGCCGAACGTGTGCAATTTAATCAAGATGGTCACGAAGACAAACCGGAAGACAATGGAGTTGCTTCCCCTGATTCAACGGAGCAGTCAGACAGTGCAAATAATATTGGTAAGGTTCTTAAATCAAGTATATTGTTCATGGAAACTTCAAATTAAAGACTCAGGCATTGGGGCACTATATACGATCATCTGGTTAAAGATAGGGTCCTTAACCTCAATTTTCCTCTCAAAACTGGACAAATTCTTCTTCAGAAAATGAAAAAAAAATTCCTGTTTATGAAACAGTGTCCCACAAATTGAATTAAAAATCAGAAATCTGTATTAGTTTATAAAGAAATTCATAGTTGACAAAAAAAAAAAAAAAAACAGTTCATTAATCAGTGAGTTTAATTATTATCTAAAAAATTTTTTTATAATTGTTAATACATGTATGTTATATTATTTAATATTATGATCTTGAAATCCCTTAAACTTATAATGGACTGTTCCAAATTCAAAGAAAGACAAGTTCATTACAAAAAAACTGGTGTTATTTTGTTACAGAGAGAGAAAAAACATTAGAAGAGTCTGCACGTGAATATCAGGCCACCCATAAACGGGAAACAGAGCTTGAGGAGGTGGAAGTGGTCACTGGGGAGGAAAACGAATCCAATGTATTACAGGTGAATGTCATCTCTTTTAGAATAGTTCAGTTGTGAACAATGCAAGGGATATTGAATTATAGTTATTAAACTGACTTGGAACAAGTATGTAGATCTGCCCAGGTACTCACCTTTGACTTAATATAGCTCATAAGGGCATCTTAGGGTGTTAATTTAACCAGTGAAGGCTAAAGATTTCCCAATATGACTTTGTTAGTGTTGAAGTCACTTAGAACCAAATCGGCATAAAAGTGTTAATGTGAAATAGGAAAAATAGAGTACTTTTGATAATCTTTATGTTAACTATTGTATGTTGTGCCATATCTTAGATACAGTTTACTTTCTAAATTCTTCAGTTCAAGATATAAAAGATTGTTAGACACATGATTTGAACAACTAAAATGTTTAGTTTTGATTTTAATGTTATATTTAGCTAGCAAACTTAAAGGGACTAGCTCAGTCTATGTTAATTTGTGTTTTTATTTCGCTCTTAAAGTTTGTATAAAGTTTGTTCGTCAAATTTGTTGTTTTTTTCAGACAAATGGGAAATTATTTGTATTCGATGGTGACACACAGAACTGGATAGAGCGTGGACGTGGCTTGTTGAGATTAAATGACATGAGATGTGAATCCTCACAGACCTTTCAATCAAGATTATGTAAGTCTATATGTGGGAGTGTCCATTACACAGTGGTTACGATCTTTGAAGTCAAACCACTTGCCTCTCACTGCTGTAGATTTGAGCCACACACAGGTCTTTGTATTGTTTTATGTGAGAAAGCTATCCAGCTAACTGACAGAACCTCAGGTGCCCGTTTCTGCCTGAAATAATGCACAGAATGACACCTGCGGTATTCCCCGATCAGTAAAGCTGGAAAGTTGCCATATGACTGATACTGTGTTTGTGTGATGAAAAACCCAATAAAAAGTTTATATATTTGAACTGAAATGTTTACACTTTCTGAACTTAGAAAATTGCTTCAGTATCTAAGTTCTTGTTTTTCTATCAAGCACTTGGAAAAGTAATGACAGCTTTAAGTCAATATTATAGTTTTAGTTTTCTTATGTTGTTTTTTTTCAAAATCTAAGTAATGATAAACTCCAAGAATTTCTTTCTAAATACATGTATAGTAACCAATCAAGTAATTAGATCTGAAGCAAATAAAAATATCATGCAAGTGTTTAGATATTTTAAACAGTTTATTTGTATGGAAATTTTCTGACCATTGTGCTTTTCAATTCCAGTAATGCGCACTCAAGGAAGTTTACGTTTAATTCTAAACACTAAGATATGGCCAGGTATGACAGTTGAGCGAGCAAGTCAAAAAAGTGTACGAGTCACGGGTACCGATGGAGATCATGTTAAAGTCTTTCTAATAATAGTAAGTAAATTTTATTATAACTGTTTGTATACTAGCAGTGATATTGACTAGGTTATGGCAGGCTATCCCTCATATTTAATTCATTCTAATCTAGAGCGAAACTATATATTATGGCAACTTAGTTTTTAGCTCGGCTATTTTGAAAAAATAGGACGAGCTGTCGTACTCACCCAGACATCAGCGTCACATTAAATTTTGGTAAAGTTTTTGCTTGCAAGTCCGAATCTCCAACACTACTTCAGGGAATGGGTTGAAAATTCTCACACTTCTTTGAAAGCATAATAGGAGGTCACTGTCCAGGGCTCATAACTTTTACTTGGATTTGTCAGAATTATGACCCTTTTTTGAAAAATTCTTAATTATCCAAACTCTTTTTTTATCTATCTTTCAAACACTGAAAATAGTTGAGCATGCTGACGTATCAACAGCTCTTGTAGAATTCTATAACTGAAATCCCTTTAAATGATAATATTTGTTTCCAAATTGATCTAAGGTTAAAGAAATTGCCAGATTTTGTAGAATGTATAGAAAAAAAGTTAATTATAGACCATGCTTATCAAAACTAATCTGATTTCAGTCAAATCCCAAAGATTCAGAAATTTGTTAAGAGCTTTAGATTTGGCGTGTACAGCAGTTGCGTGTGTTCAAGAAGAAAAGGTTGAAAGAAAGTGGAGAAGTCTCAGGGAAAAGAAAAGCTGAACCGAGTCTCCCCACTGAGGAGTTTGCTGTGAAGAAAACAAAGTATTATAATGGCTCATGCAATTTTATTTTCTGTTCAGTTATTATTTTTGAATATTAAAAGGATTTTCCTATTTGCAATAGGGATGGAATTGATTTGATAAAAAACAAAATTTTTTTGGGGTGGGGGAAAGGAAAGGGGTTTAAAATTTAATAATTATCATGGGGCCCAAAAACTTGGGCAACTTATATTTAATTAAATTTACACACAATTTTCATAAAACAATATTCCTTTCAAGTACCCAGGGGGGGTCTGCATTTTTGGGGTTGGTAAAAAGGGTACCCAATAAAAAATTTTTTTTTTGGGGGGCCTTTTTAATTTCAAACTTTTGTAACCAAGGGAAAATTGGAAAAAAATTAACTTTATCTTCCCCGTAAAAAACAAATGAAACCCTTTATGTTGATGACTTAAAAAATTTCAAAAAAAAACATTTTTGCCCGAAAGAGCAAAACCTATCACTTTTAATTAAAGGGTTTTTTATTTTTCTGTTTTCAAAACAAAATTCACCCAAACAAGTTTATAATTTTAAAAAAGAATTCCCTAATTTTGAATGGAGAGAAAGGGAAAAACCAAATAATAAATTTTAATTTTGAATTTTAAAAATTTTTTTGTTTTTTAAAATTTTTAGAAAACCGATTACGAGGCCAAACAAGCTATTTAAAGGGAAGAGTCAAAAATAGTAAGGCCCTAGATTTTCCGAAAACCCGAAGGTTAGAAAAATTGCTTAAATTCACTTTTCAAATATTTTTTTTTGCAATTTTTTAAGTAATTTTTTTCAAAACCCCTGGATTAATTTTTTTTTCGGAAAATTTTTTTTATTTTTTAAAAATCTAATTTTTTAATAAAACCCCTTTTCCCTTTAAAGAAAGGGATCCTGGCCCTTTTTTGTTTTTTTAAACACCATTCCACATTTTAAAAACATTTTTTGGGCCCTTTATTTTTTTTGGGCCTTTAATTTAGTGAAAGAAATAATGATGTTACATTTTTTAACAATTTTTATTTGGCAGTGGTTTTATTGGTTTTTTTTTTCAATTTTTTTGGGCCCCCCTTAGTGGGGGCCTTTTTGATTTCCCCTTGCCGTCCATCTTTTTCCCTTTTTCTTTTTTGGGCGAAGTTTAAATCAAATAAAATTTCCGAAGCAAAGAAACTTTAAAAAGGGGGAAAGTTTTATTTTAGCATGGGGGTAGGTTTTTCACCAAGGTTTTTTTTCGTTGGTTTTTTATAATTTTTAGAGTTTTTCATTTACTTTAAAAAAAATTTTGGAATTTTTAAAATTTGTGGGAAAATTTTTTAAAAAGGGTTTTACATAGTGTCTTTAAAACCCTTTCGGGGAAGGGTTTCTTTAAACATATTAGTTTTTTTTCAACCCCCGGGGTTTTCCTTTGTTATTTAACCCCGATTTTTAAGAGTTATTTTTTTCCCCTTTTCTTAGTAAATTGTTTTATTTTATTTTTCCTTTAGGGCTGGGGCCCAGAATCAACCAAATTTACAGGGAAAATGACAACATCATGAATTTCAAGGGAAAAGACACTTTACGGGAAACTATGAACCTGGATTGCCCCCTTTAATTTTTAGTTTTTAAGAGTTTTGCCTTTGGGCTTTCGTATAAAATTGGAATTTTTAACTTTTCAGGATAGCCAAAAAATATTCACTTTTAAACCTAAACTTTACAAGAAGTGGAGGGAAGGGGTAAATTTTTTCACCTTTGGGGTTTTCTTTGGATTATTTAGTATTTTAAAGTTTTTCCCTTTTTTAGTAAAAATTTTTTTTTCAAAAAAATTTTACCTAGATCTAAGATTTACAGAAAGTGGGCGTCGGGCACCCGGGCCCATGGACACAATTTTTAGTTCAAAAAAATTTACCCTAAATATATTTAAAAATTAAAAAAAAAGAAATTTAAAATACAAATTTTTGAAAGTGTTGCCCAAAACAATTCAAAGCTATATATGTATTTCAAATATCGCAGAAAGCCAGCACGTTTCACTCTGAGGACAGAATTTAGATTTAAAAAAACTCGGGATAGGGAAACGATTTCAGGATAAGTAGCATTTTTTATTTTTTAAAAAAGACAAAGTAATTTGACTGAAGGGGAAATTTTTAGTTTAAATGGTAAAATTTAAACTTGGGCCCGGGGCCGTTGCCCTTCCCTTTTGATACCCCCTTAGATTTTGGGGAGGAAAACTTTTACAATTTGGGAAACGGGCTTTTTGGGAACTTTTTTGAAAAAACTAAATACAAACTAATAAAAATTGATTTTAAGGGGTTTGTAAATTTCCCGGGTTTATTTTTTAAAAAAGCGAGGGAAAAAAGAAAAAAAATTTTACAGATTTGAGACGTTCTTTTGGGATTTTTTGTTGGGGTTAAAGTCAAGTTTTTTAAAGGATATACTTTAATGTTTTCTTTTTATTTAAATTTTTTTGGTTGGTTTGGGAAAAGGGAAAATCCAAAGGTTCAATTTTTTTATCAAGGGGGAAAAAAAATAATTTTTTTTGGGGGGAAAAAATGTTTTTTTTAAAACCCGCATTTAAAATTTTCACCCCCCCAATTTTAAAAAAACTCAATATTTCACATTTTAAACCCAACATTTTTCGCAAAATATCACCCCCACCCGTTCTTTTAAAACGCAAGCTTTTGGGGGAAATGTCCCTTAGGGAAATGTCAGAAAGGGTTTTTCTGTAGGGGGTTTAAA